GTTTGTCGCATACGTAGATAGGGCCGTCGTACACTTATTATGTTCGATGTCTGATTTATGTTCTTTTAATCTTGTGGCCAATGAACGCTTGGTGGATCCGATATACACTAAAGGTCTATCCCATCTGTTATCTTTTAATGGAATACTGTATATCCCTGGCAGCCTATTTGGGTCTGAATTGTCCTTCCCGTTCCTTAATAAACTGTAAATGGTTGGGTTTCTTTTGTATGCAATATTAATTCCTTTTATTTTTGCAATTTTTTTGTACATTGCCTTTAGATGCGGGTTATACGTTATTGGTACCCTCTGTACGATATCCTTCAATAAAAATTGAACCATGTTTTTGTGCGCTCAGGGACTTCCTTCTCTCTAGCATAGAGGACACCACATTGCACCAAGATATACTCAAGTTAGCGCATCTGGCTTGTTACAATTCAGTATTCCAATTTAAGAACATCATATACGAGCAAGGAAGAGGAGTGCCAATGGGAAGTCCATTATCTGGAGATTTATGCGAAATGGTAATCAGGATATTAGAAAGCAAAGTCCTTCCCTCCTTTTTCCCAAGTATCAGCCTGTACAGAAGATATAGCGACGATATAATTATCCTTTGGAAAGATGAGCCAGATATAGATCATTTTATGGAATCAATGAACAACAACCCATACGGCCTCGTAGTGGAACTGGAACAACATAGTAAGGATAAAGTACACTTCTTGGATGCCAAATAGGCTTCCAAGGATATACAGTATTCCATTAAAAGATAACAGATGGGATAGGCCTCTAGTGTATATCGGATCCACCAAGCGTTCATTGGCCACAAGATTAAAAGAACATAAATCAGACATCGAACATAATAAATGTACGACGGCCCTATCTACGTATGCGACAAACCTGGACATCACACCTTTCTTCGATGAAGCGCATGTTATTCGCACCACCCAACACACGGAACAACTAAGAACTTTGGAGGCACTGGAAATCTTTAAAGCCGATCGTAAATCCGCATGCATTAATTTCAAAGAAGAAATAAATCTCTCTGCAGCATGGCAATTTTTAATTGACGATAAATCATAATATAGTTTATAAGACAAGTTTTATGACGTAATGCACACAATGATTCCCCATTGGTAGAAAATTACATTTGAAATAACAAGTGGATTCCTTCCGTTTTCGGAATTTTTTCGAAAAATAGCACGTTACGTTTTTTCAAAAACATTCGAATTAAAGAATCCGGTTATAACGAAAGATATAAAGAAGTAAGCCTGAAGAAGATCCCAGGAGGGGAATCGAAAACGTTCGCCGATTTTAAAGAATTTCGCACCGGTTAATGGTTAATTGTAGGTAGTTGTTGGTTTGGAGTATATACAACCCGGTGTGGTAAGAAAGCACATTAAGAAAATGATTTCTTTGGTATTACAAAAAATGTCAGTTTTTTTTTAAATTTATTCATTTAACAGGTTTATTTTCAGTATTGTGTTACCATCAGTTTTTTTAATAAAACTTCTGTTTTCACTTTTATCACAAAGTAAATTATAACAATTGCATCCAGATGGCTGACTCTAACAGGCCTCTTCGTAGTTGAAAATGGGCTCTCAGTATCCACACTGTATCAGTTGGAATCATTTTTTTTAATATTAAGCATACATAATTTTGTGTTTTTAATACAAAAACACAAAATTATATATAATTAATATTACAAAATTAAAAATATGTATTCAGATTTCATCTTAATAAAATTCAAGTTTATTTTTGTCTGTTGATGGTGCTGCAAACAATTTTATGGAGTAGACTGTCTGATCCAATTTAGCTTATGAGAACAACCTACAAAAAGTTAAACAGATTTTTAGGAATATTTATGTATTCAAAATATTATTTATTATAATTATTTTCTTTTTGTAGGACATATATTAACATTATTCACTTGGGGTGGATCAATGTTTGTAAGTGGTTCTCAAGACAGAACAATTAGATTTTGGGATCTGCGTACTCAGGGATGTGTAAATTTAATTGCAACTCCTTCAAGTTGTGGCTCTGGACCAGGTATTTTAGAATACTGTTATTGTTCTGATTATATCAGTGTATTGTAATTTAATTCTACATAAACTGAAATTAATTAATTTAAATTTAGAAATTTAATGTAATTAATAAATGCCAGCGGTTCTCAACTTAGTAATTAATTTTTTTGGATTTAGTTTTTGAAGGAATAATTATCCATTTATAATCTTTAAATTGACAATCTTATAATTAAAGATTATAAATTTTTATAATTAAGATTATTTTAACATTTTATGATTAAGATCATTAAAACTGTTGTGATACTTTTATTTTAAAGAATATGTTAGATAATTATATTCTTTAATGTTTGAACATATTACATAAGTACACATTAAAAAAATAATCTAATAAAAATGTGAAATTAGAAGAACCATTGTTTGAAATAATTCAAATAATTTGGCTTTATTATTAATTTAGAAAAGTTTTACTATTTAATATCATTTTCAAGAACGCTTACCATATCTATAAATTTGTTTTGTGACAGAACAGCAGAAGAGTTTTTTATTCAATAAATATTTAAAATAAAAGTGTTGAAAAATCGTTTGCAATATTTTTTTAAATTAAAATCAGTTAAATATCTTATCAAACATGTGGAAGAATACTTCATGTATAATAGAATTAAAACTTTAGCACATTTTAATTCAAACATGTTGCATATATAAATAAATAAAGTAAATAAGAACACAGTAATAACTGATTACTTATCAGAGTAAAAACACAAATAAATTTGTATAGACAGGCAGTGTGTACACTTATTTATGTGTCTTTAATTTTACACTGATGATGTATTACATATATATTGGCAAAGTTATTAAACTGCGGTAGCATCAAAAATACTGATAAATTTATTGAAAATTTTAAAAAACTTACTATAAATAAAGACAATATGCTGTGACGACTGAATAACTGAACTTGTTGAATTTGTTTTAGGTAAAAATTACTTTAGATGTAACAGTAATTTTTAGACAATTAGAAGGCATCTTTATGGGTTCTTGCATTGGTTCAAAACATTAACTATGCATGATAAAAATCAACAATATCATTAAAACCTTCAGTGTCATATTTTGCAATATGTTGACAACTGCTATGTTATTTATAACAATGACTTGACTTATCCTCAAATAATACTTGACTGCATCAGTAATATCCAAAAAAATGTATACATTTTTCACATTGAAAAAGAAAATGACAGTATTTTAAACTTTTTAGACATTACAGTCCAAAGATTTCATAATTTCATAAATTTTAGAAAATATATAAAACTTCATAGCATTGATAAATTCATGAATTTCTACTCTAGTGCCTCTATGTGTATTAAAAAGAATATATTTAATACATATTTTTAATGTATGTAATATATGTATATTTAAAAAAATTAAATTATGTACAAGCCAATATACAATAGTATACCAAAAGAAAGAAATTGAACATATAAACTGCACTTTTCAATTAAATATCTACCCTAATAGAATAATCAATAAATGGCTTAATAATAACACTGTAAAATGAACGATACCACAAACACAATTAATTTTAAAAAACAATTATATTCCTATCATTATTGAAGAAAAAAAAACAAAATATTATTGAAACCATATAATATTGTTTTACTCCTACATTAATTTAAACAATAACATTAATAGCCTTTTGAAAACCAAAGATTTGATCAAACAAAAAACAGACATAATGTTAAATAATAATTTAGTTTATATTTTTGCTTGTAGTTGCCAATCAGAATATTGTTACATAGGTGAGACTGGTAGAACATTAAAAACTAGAATTAGAAAGCATTTATGCATAGTCAAGTATAAAAACATTGATGACCAAATGTATAGTGACCGAAAACATTTGAAGTAATAAACTTCGGCTGCAAGATAAGGTGTCTTAGTAAGTCTTTTAGTCAAGTATAATTATTCCGTCTCAGTAGTCATCTTACACTAGACACTGCAATTAAGCAGGTTGTGAGATCTCACTTAACATTGTCCAATTTCTTAAAAAGCAAAAAATATCAAAAGAAAACTTTTCAGACATTTAGAAATTATTAAAATTACTGAAATGAGAATGAATTTAAATACAGGCATTGTCATTAGTGAGATCTAGCAACCATTATTATAAAAATAAGAATAATACAAAATTTTAAGATTCACTTCTTTCTTCCCTCTTCCATTCTCCCCCTGGTTTTAATAATACACTGTACTGTGTGATTATCAGTATAGTTGATGGATGTTCAGTAAAGTCCTTTACACCTTTTTATATATTTTTTTATATTTAGTGACATTTGAAATTGTTTTAGTATTTCATTGATAAGTTTTTTTCCAGTTTTATTAGTAATTTTTTAGCTTTTACAAATGTACCCTTTCACTACATTTTATTAGTATTTGGGCTGCAGTTTGAAAAAATTGTACTTATAAATTCCCACTGTTGTCTGTCCATCTGTCTGTTTTTCTTTAATCTCAAGAACAGAGTTACATAGATGTAAGCCGAGACCATATATGGAAAGCTTAGGGGCAGGAGGACCCAATTAACTATATATGAACTTCTGATGCAAGCCAAAAGTTACGTTATTTCAATTAAGAAATTTTCACTTGAAAGGAGTTAGATAGCTTACTAGCATGACTATTTTAACAGAAAAGTATAATATACAGGGACAAGACACTATTAATTTGAGGTAGAGAGCATATATTTTAAATTAAATAAATTTAAAATATGATTAAAAATTGCAGTCTGGCATTGTGATGATGTCACAATAAATATTTTTTCATTTGTAGTTATTTTTTATTTTTTAAATTTATTTTACTAGTTTTTAACCCTTTCCAATTTTACTGAATATTTTTATGTATGTATGTAATGTATTAAATAGATGTAATTCGTGATATAATTTCATCAAATACATATAAAATAAGGACTGCTGAGGGATAAATAGCTTGACATGCATTCCTTTTTTTGGCTAATAAAGTCTATATAATCAATCACCTGGTTGTTCCTGTATGATAAGTTCTCTACAACAATTTTATGCTCACTTTAAACAATCTAAAAAAGAGAATCAAATACCAATTTATTAACTATATACACATTAATGTGCTAACATATAATATTACTATGAGAACATCTTTGTCATCAGAAATTTTTTGTTCAGTATCAGAATTTTTTGCACAATCCTTCACTGTACCATTTTTGTTGACATCACTTTCACTTTAAGTTTCAATAATCAAATTTTTATCATTGACTTAAGTAACATTAAGGAAATGTTGAGAAAAATGGACAGTTTTACATAATAAAACAGAACTGAAAAGTGATGCTGGGTAATCAGTGTTGTCAGTTTCTTAGGAATAGCTATTCAAAGTTACCAGATTTTATTTCAAAACAAAATTATTCTAAAAGGGAAGATTCTGGAAGATTTTAACATTTTAATTTGTAATATATACTAGTTTATTTACAAAAAATTGAAGCAGATTTTACATGTTTTTAAATTACACAAAGTGTAACCAAAAGTTGACTGAAGAGGGGCAAAGCCCGAAATGAGTACAAAAGAATGACTCAACTAATAAAGGAATTTGATGGAAAACTTGCCACGTGTCTTTGGAATAAAACACAATACTAGTGTTTACTACGCCAAAATTATTCTAAATGTATCTGTGAGATCAGCTGAGATCACCAAAAGATTTAAAACTGCTAAACCATGAAACAAGACATAGGATAATCATGATAACTGGTATTACATGTGAAACAATGGGCTCTCTTACACTACATAAGTGTTATTCCTGGCACCAAAGAAATTTTAGTAGTCTGTATCTTGTAAGGAAGGCTGCAGCAACCCCCCCATTTACAAGAGCAAAATTGCTTGTATTGTTCTATATCATCCATTTCATTTTGTTGTTCTAATTTCATAATACCCTGTATATACAGCCATATCCTGTTATCTGAATCTAATGCATCCTTGAAAACAATTCAAATGTGGTATGTTTTTTCTGATATTTTTATGGGAAAAATATTAGAAAAACTTAAAAAATAATAAAATGAAAACCATACACACTTTTTCAGCAAAAGGGATTTATGGAACAAATGTTTTTGGTTTATTTTATAAACCTGCCTCAGGTATATAAAATATTAGAAAAACTAACTTATTATTGTTAACTGCAAAATTTTTAGTTATCCATTAATCCATGATTTTCAGCATGGTAAGAAATATTAAACTCTAATTACCTTACTCAGAGTTCAAGCTACATAGTGCCAAAATCGTCCACTTCGCACTTCTGACCACTTGGCAATATTTTTATTAAAGTGGCAATAAAAATTCTAGTCTTCTTATTTTGACATTTGGCATGAAATTGAATCACACATCACACTTTGAAAAAAATGGCAAAATGTCAAATTTCTGTACAATGGGAGTCATGTGGCAAGTTTGAGCAGAAAAGTATGAAGTGACATCAAGAACCAAAGACAGTTTTATGCAATGCCACCCAGCATTTCCAGAGTGGGATTTTTTATTGACTAACAGAAATTTGGGAAATTTTTGGGATGACTTTTTTCACTTTGATCTGTTTTTAGTAGACTAAAACAAAAATTTTGACATCATAGAACCTGTGAAATACTGTTTAAACATTGTGATCAAATGTGTTATTCAGAATTATTCATGAAAAAATTATTCAAAAATGATTCCTTTTGTTGACATGGAGAGGGCCAAACATTCAGGTCTCCAATTTGAATGAATTATGGTGAACATTAAACACAAAAAGCTCCTTTTCCAAATAATAGGACCCACTTCTCAAGCATTTACAAAAATTGGGTCACTAAAAATCGAGCATTTACCTTATAAGTCTGAAAGTTTCATGTCTCTGAGCAGCAATATATAAGATGCTAGGTACTGCAACTAGATGATAGTTTAAACCATTGGAATTTTAGTTTAGTTTTGTTTTTTATGTGTAACATTATTATTTTATTATTTTACCACAGCATTGGGATTATTATTACTATTATTATTCCTG